ACACATTCAAAACTGATATTAATAACTAATAATAGATAGTATTTGCTGAAACTATGGCTATCACATGTCTATTTTCACTTCACTCTGAAATGTCTTATTGAAGATTTCCCAAATCATTTTTCTGCATATTCAACACAAGGATCAAGAAAGCCCAAGTCAAGTGCTTTCACCTTCATAGACATGGGGTACAGATACCCCTTTTTGCATACTATGGTGAGGCAGAAATTTTGATGAAGTATCGTTTTTTGCCTGACTGTACTTCCACCTTGGAAGATTTGGGGTTAAGTCAGAGATGGGCAGGTATCCTAAAATTTGGTCACTTGACCAAACGATTAGACCAAAAAAAATCCAGTTACATATTTGGTTTGGCTGAAGGAATTTGCATTATGACATCTTTCTCTGTTTTCTTCTTCCTTAATGTTTTGATTAGAAGAAGCAGGACAATGTCATGTCCTACTTTGGAGTCATACCAACCCCTTATGTGCAGGGAAAATATTAATGTCTCCCAGTTCTTGAGTTCTTGGTTATGCAATTTCAAATAATATGGGTCACTTACTTCCAATTGTTGTTTCCTTAAGGTAAAAAACAAAATAATGTCTGGAGATTAGAAAACAACAAATAAAAGAAATAATTTCCTAAAGAAAGCACAGTGGAAGCATCTTGGAGTTTGTTAAGAAAACAAACAGTAGAGAAAATGTTTCTAATCCTATTTCAGCTTTGTGCCTGGACAGTTAGGGAATAAATAAGTGAATTTAATGAGGCCAAAAATCCATTTTCAACCCTACTAGTGATGCATTTAATTTGTCAGGATGTAAATCAGCAGGACCTCTCAGCATGATTGTGTAGTATAATCCTGTCCATAAAATATTTCTCGTTCTGCCAAAGAAGTGGTGGACCCTCCTAAGGGCCAGCTCACTGACTTGGCAGCTGAGGCCCCATCATACACAAAGCTGGTACACATACTCAGACACAACCCCTGACATTCCTTGGGGAGGAAGCAAAGCTTAATTTAGATAATCCCCTTTGCAAAGTGTATTAGCTGATCCAAACCAGACCTGGCTGACTCAAGGCATCTTGTTCCTATGTTTCAGAGATGCCTCATTGTAGAAACAGTTTCTCATTGCATTTGGAGGATTAAGATTCATTTAAGGAATAGGTAGGGATGATCAATAAATTATTTTTAATATATACAAACAGTTTCATGCTTGTCTTTGACCTTCTACCCACTTAAATGGTGGGCAGGCACATTACTTTGTTGTTCTAGAAAGTGTTTGGCAGAGTTCCTCTAATTCCATCTCACAAATGAAAATAAACAATGAAAACACAGAGAATAGGGAAAGTATGCTGTGTATCATAAATGAATATTTTTGGCTTGCAAAAAGAAAAACACTTTTTTCTAAGTAATTCATGGAAAAATATGCCTGGCTTAAGAATATATGTACCAGCAACACTCCATTAGACACACCTGGTCCTTCAACAGGAAGACAGATGGAAACTATGTCAGAGAGATATGGCAATGCCAGAAGATGCCCAGAACATTGATTTAAAAAAAAAATACATGACAAAACCAAAGTGATATAGGTCACACTTGAGGATCAAAAGCGGTAGGTGTAAAAAACAAAAAAAACAAAAAATGGTAGGGGTGCAGAGAGGAGAAAAAGATGCAGGTAAGTTTTTGTCAGCATGATAACATAAATGAATCCAGATTAAAATCTAAATCCCTGAATTCATTGTGAAATACTGTTTTGTTGGAAAAGGGAGATGCTACAATTATGAAATAGATATTACCAGCAGTAAATGGTATGAATCACATATGTAAGAAAACTTGAATTTTCCTCAGACACTGGAATTAAATGAAGGAAAAATTCCAAAGGCATGTCTGCACTGGAGATTAGGAGTCAAATTCTCCACAGAGCTTGTGGCACACACAGAAGCCCCTTCTTGACCTGCAGTTCACAGGTAATCGTCTTGCCAGCAAAAACCTTACTCAGCTTCATGTTGCAACAGAGAGATTAACTTTTAAGCATTTCACTTTAAAAAAATAATAACATTTCATGGTGAAATTTCACAGTAGGAAATAATGGCAGGTGTTATATCAAGAATCATGGTGGACGGTCAAACAAAAAAGTACAACGTGGTCTGGAATTAAGATAGAAGGAAGAGAGAAAAAAACAAAGAAACAATGAATATGAGAAGGAGGAAGAAAAAGAGAAAAAGTAGAGAGATGGAGAAATTTGAATATAAGAAATACTCAAAGACAGCACTTCTCTTTGTAGTGAAGGATGAGCCCTTTCAGGCCTCCCAGTTTTTGGTTTGTGCTTTCTTTTGTGGTATCCTGACAGCCAGTGTCAGATGTAGACAAAGAGGTAATACATGGATCAGCAGAGGAAGAACTGAATTATGTAAATTCACAATGAAAACTTCATAGATGATAAATCATATGTGGTAACATATTGAGTGAGAAATGAATTGAAACCACCCTAAGTTACACCTATAAAATGACAGACCATGCAGCTATTAAGAATGGTGACCAGCAATTCCACTCCAAAGTATTCACCCAAAGGACACAGAATCATTAATTCAAAAGGGCACCTGCACCCCTTTATTTATAGCAGCATGATTTACAATAGCTAAGCTATGGAAACAACCTAAATGCCCAAAAATAGATGACTGGATCAAGAGATGTGGCATATATACACAATGGAATACTATTCAACCATCAAAAAAGATAAACTCATGCAATTTGCAGCAACATGGATGGAGCTGGAAGGGATCATGCTCAATGAATAAGCCAGAAAGAAAAAGAAAAATACCAGATGGTCTCACTCATAGCAGGAATTTAGAAAACCTAAAAACGGACCAGGAGAAAGACTAATTATAATAATGTAAAAATCAAAATCAACAAGCAACTATAAGCCAGACACACTATGGTGGGGGTGGTCAAAATAAGGGGGGGGTGGGAATTGTATGGGGACTATAACCAAGATGAAAAAGCATACATTGTGCAAAAATGAAAAATGGGGCCTCCCCGCTGGCGCAGCTGGTTGAGCACAGTGCTGTGAGGCTGTCTGCAGCTGGCTGGATTCCTGGGGAGCCAGGGATATTCCCACATGGCATGGCACACCTCTCCTGTCTCACCCGCTGCTCCCCTCAGCAGTGTATTTCGGTCCTTCTGCCTGTTCTGCTCCCCGCTCTGTCTCTGGTGGATTCTCTCACTCTCCCACGCCTCTGGCCTGTACCCCAGTTCTTGTATGCATAAATAAATAAATCTTTAAAAAAATGAAAAATTATATAAAAATACATAAAATAAAACATTAAAGAGAATGGTGATAAAGATACAGTTATCAATTAGAAAAGACACTTATGTTCAAAGAAAACAGGCTATAAAACTACACAGCATGATGCAACTTTTTTGTGAAAATAAGTCTATAAATACAAATATGCAGCTCTGTCTTTATGATGGCATTCTGGTACTTAGAAATAGAAGCATAGAAAAACTCCTTTCTCTATGTTAAATGCATATTATTAATAATCTATGAATATGTAAATATTCCTATGTTCTATGAATAAGGTAAATAACCTCTGAATAAAGTAAAATTATCATTGCTTTATGTATTAATTCCTGGACAAAGCATGGTGGTTTCCTAAATCAAAGGACAGTTGAAGTATAGCTGTTATGTGTATATAAAATGGCAGTAGGATAAATGGTACTTTTCAAAAGTATTTCAATTCCAGAACATTTCATCATACAACCAGCTCAGGGTCAAGTTCTGTCAAGTTTATTTATAGTTACACAGTTTAGCCCACGACATAGTATAAAGATAAATAAATGTAAAACTCAGAAATGCAAGTCAGAGGGCATGAGTGACGCCTTTCAGACTCTAAGTCAATAGCCAGGTTTATCTTCCTTACTGAAAGTTTAATTATAATTGTTGTCATTAAAGTCTATTTTTACTGGGGACTGGGGAATCCTTCTAAGTTGCAGATAGTATCAACAGACCAGCGGTTGGAGCAGGCAGGGCAGGATTAGGCATGAAGAAACCTGGGTTAAATCCCAGTTACTAACAAGCTGTGTGACTTTGGGCAGATTGCTCACTTCTACTGAGTCTTTCCCTCATCTGCAAAGTAAGAGGAGAAGGAACCATAGACTTAGGTGCCTACCTGGGTGAAGTAAGGTGGAAACCCTCATTCCACTGACACTAATTTCAAGCAATGAACAGTCTTCAACTCAACATAATATACAAAAACTGTAATTTCTGTAAGTCATTGAAATATAAAAACAAAATGCAGTCAACAGGCAATATACTTGTCCGACACAGGTCAGTGCATAGACTGGTCCATTATGAACGCTAATGACTTCAAGATAATACAGTCTACACGCCACCCTGGATCTCGGGCTCTCTAAGTCCCATTTCACATAATATGGATGATTTATATTTTATAAAATACATGTATAAAGTTGATGAAAGACATTTATTATGCTCAGAATAAACAAATTCAAATGAGGAAAAAAAAACCAACGCTTGAATCAACCTTACAAATAGTTTTCTGGTGAAAACGGTAAATTGTGTATTCTCTAGTGCAAGAACTCTGAATCTTGTTTGTACACATGTAAGGCAGGTAGAGTAATTCGGATTATAGGGTTTCAAAGGCTCTATTTTCCATTGCTATGTATTTTTTTTCTTCTGAAAAATCAATTATTTTTTGTCATTGAATTTAGTCAGAAAATCAAATAATTTTGTGGATATGGTGGGATTTGAACAATAGGATATTAAGTAAAAATTAGTGTTACAGTTTTGAAAACCAAACATTTAAGAGTGTAAGCCACATTATTAATCTTTTTTTATACACTTGCTATATTCTTTGTAAGTTCTTTCATTTTATAGTAAAAACTAATTGACTCCATATTTTTAAAATAATTTCATTTTTTAAAAAGAATTGGAAGTGAGGTAGGGATATAAATAAGTACATACATAAATATTTTTAGATACAAACCTCACCTGTTTTTCTCATGAATCTTCAGGATTTCATTTGTCTGTTGAAGAAGTTGCTTCTCCAGCTTGTACGTTGATAATGAATTCTCCAGCAGTTGTATTTCAAGTCGAGAAGTCTGATTTAGTACCTTAAGATAAAAGATGAAAGCATTTCAAGCTTAGTCACAAAGAGTAGAAAATAATTTTTCCCCAAATAATTCATCAAATTTTTTTTAAAGATTTATTTATTTTTATTTATACAAGTACTGGGTACAGTCAGAAGTGCGGGAGGGTGAGAGAATTCACCAGAGCAAGAGCGGGGAGCAGAACAGGCAGACTGACGAAGTACTCTGCTGAGGGGAGCAGCGGGAGGCGGGAGAGGTCTGCGTGCCATGTGGGACCCTCCTCTGGTGGCTGGGGAGCAGCCGGGGATCGAACCGGCACCGCAGAGGCTGTGGGCAGCTTCGCAACCCAGTGCTCAAGCGCTGAGCCTCCAGGGAGGCCCTCGACACCTACTAATTAATGCTTTACATATTTCTTAAACTTCATATGAGTTTGAGACTGAGGTTGTGATTGAATGAAAAAACTGAATTATAAAATCCATTTTCATATTTCAATTGCTGTGTTCAGAATCCCCAGGATAGTCTATTACGCAAACTGCTATGTACATATAGATAGCTATGTATATAATTTCCAATATTAACAAGTATAAGATGAATATTAGTGCAAGGTCTTAGATACTGTGTATAATTAATAATAATTGATGGGCATATAAACTAGGCCTAACTCAATCTATCACCTTACAAAAACCAATTAAAACATTCAAACAATTCTTGACATAGTTTAGACAGATGCATGGTTAACACAGTTAAAGAATTCTTCTACTGGGTAATGCCATGGTACCTGCTGAAAGAGGAATTATCATCATTGTTTTACAAACGAGGAAACTTGTTCAGAGGGAGGCCCAAATCCACACAAGAACCAAGGGAAGAGCTGAGTTTCGAACCCAGACAGTGTGACTCTGATCCAAATGCTCTTCACAGAAAACTAAGAAGAGGAAGATTTAAGTCATGTTGGGTCTTAATATGAGGAGATGACTCAACCAAGAACCCACAATGCACCAAAGACAGATTGTAGCTCTCTTTTCAACTGCACTAAACTGCGTCTTCTAGAAACTGTAAATGCTTCACTCATCTGGAATCACAATCATTTATGTTGCTGGTCAGGATCTGGAAGGTTAGTATCAAAAAGGGCCTTCCTCTGAAAATGACACTCTCTGAGCTTTCTTCCTTTTCTATAACCTGCAATGGTATCAGAAGTTCATAGAAAACCATTTCAAATTATACTGACAGGCCCAGGGCTGGGCTTGGACTAGGGGAGACTACAGGAGAGGCGGGTTTACAGGAAAGTAAAACAGAGACTAGAGTGAAATGAGAGGTAGAATTGCCTCAGTTGAAAATGTTAAGAGGTTGCCACAAAACTCAGCAATCAAAATAATTAGTATTTTAATGCAACATTTAAAAATTAAAGATCAATGTCAAAAAAGTCACTTTCTTTATCTTAGTTCCAGTCCCATCAGGGATTGGGGGGTAGAATATGGTGAAATGGGGCAGTTGTGTGTGTTTTAACAGTTTTAAATTGTTATAATTCATTTACACTTTTGACATGAACATACATCTGAAAGCCAGGTTAAAGTTATGACTACTGAGAAAATACTACATTTGTGCAGTGCTTTAAAGTTTTAATAAATATTTTTTGTTCTTTGTAAGATAATCTTGGATTTGAAGGTAGAGTTAGAAGCAGCCCAAAGGAAAAACTGGCAGAGAATGCAAAGACTGGGGACACACAAGATATAACTTTCAATTATTAACCATACTTTCATCCCGGGAAGTTTGTTTAACTAGAATGAAAATTTACTAAATAACAAAATAGGGAATGAAATATTAGTATATTTTGGTGATATGGAATAATCTAAAATTAAACATAAAGCTGCCCAGATCTAATTCTGGAGACTATAATAGCTTCTAAATTTTCTTTAATTTATCCTACCTCTAGTCCAATTACTACATATTAACCAGAGCAATCTTTCCAAAAACATAAATCAGATTATGTTATCTCCCATGTTAAATATATTAATGGCTTCACTCTGCAATTAATAAATAATGAAATTCTTAGCCTAGCCTACAAGGTCCTGCTTACTTCTCCCTCTTGCTTAATTATTTATATTTTATAAAAGTTTATCTTTTTTTTAATAGAGGTAACATTAGTTTACAGTGTTGTTTGTGTTTTAGAAGTTATGAATCAGGGACTCCCTGGTGGCGCAGCGGTTCAGCGCTGGGCTGTGAAGCTGCCCGCAACCTCTGCAGCGCGAGTTCAATCCCCAGCCAAAGGTGAGGGTCCCACATGGCACGCAGACCTCTCCTGCTGCGCCCACGGCTCCCCTCAGCAGTGTATTTTGTCGGTCTGCCTGTTCTGTTCCCCGCTCTGGCTCTGGTGAATTCTCTCACCCTCCTGCACTTCTGACTGTACCCAGTGCTTGTATAAATAAATAAATAAATCTTAAAAAAAAAAAAGAAGTTATGACTCAACCTAATTTGCTTTCATTCTATTTCAACATGCCAAATTCATTTCCATCTCAAGGTTTTTGCACCTGCAATTTTCTCTGCCTGAAATACCTATATTTGAATACCTGAAATGCCAAATACATAGTTGATTTCTTTTCATCATTAAAGTCTTACTCAAAGATGTTCTCTAGCCACTTTCTGTAAAATAATTCCCCACCATCCTCCATCATGTCACCTTATTTTCATTACATAATCATCACTATTGGAAATGATCCTGAATCCTCAATCATTTACTATCATCCTAGCCCATGGATGTCAACTCTACAGCAGCAGGACTGCTTTCCCTGTAGTCCTCCCAGCCTTTAAGGCCCAGAAGGGGCCAAACAAAGGGGGACACTGAGAACCAGATGTTTGGCCAAGACACTAAACAATGAACAGTGAGTAATGGTCAGTGAGATGATAATAGGCCCATCTGAAGACTACGCTGTGTTCAAATGGAACAGCCCTACTCAAAAGCAGCATCTAAATATGGGAGATGGAAAGGAGCAAAATTCAGAACTGCAGGCTGAGAGTAGGTCATCTCAGGCCAGTTTTGTGCACAAATACCAATCCATCTCATCTTTCCCCATCACCTTGACCCAGTTGCTGCTTTATTTCAACTCTCTCCGCTGATGTATTAAAATAGGCTTGAAGTTCAAAAGTGGGCAACGAGAGAAATACACAGGAAACTATGATAAATTGAACCACTTTCTTGTCATGTGTCTATGTGGAACTTGCTGCTTAGCAATAATCTAAGTGTTCCATTAAAATGACAAAAGGCATTTCCTTCTTTAGACTAAACACATTCCAAAAGCACATCTCTTGAAAGAAAGAAAAGCATATAAAAAGAAAAAAGGAGAGTGAAGAGCATGTGAAACAAGTCCCCAAGAACAATTTCAAAGCTTAAAATTTCCAGAATACACTATAAAGTAAGGCAGACATAAGACTTGAGTTTGAGAATTTGTGAACTGTGAAATTTTAGGTTTTTTTAAATTCAAAAAATTAAAAAATAAATAGCAGTTTCTCAAAGACAGTGAGTTAAAGAATTTCAGCTAGTTCCCCTTAAATAATTTTAATGGTACCCCTGATCTTCCTTAACAGTAATACTAAAACAAAGTTAGAGATAGACACAGAACACAAGGTCCACAAAGGAAACTCTTTCTATGGATATTAACTTTGAAATCAGTCTTGTCTGTAAGTTCATGTTTCTTTTAACTTTAATTATGGATTTTCAAATGTCAACTATAACACAAGATTTGATGCTCTGGTAGCTAGATTTTTACAGGAAAAAAAAAAGTGATACACATACAAGAAATGAGAAGGAGAAAATCAGCAATTTGCAAAATTATGGAAATAATTTAGCACAGGACTGTTCCAAATTAAAAGTAACTACTAAGCCTTGAAAAATAATATGCCTATAATTTTTTGTAGAATAATTAAATAAATTTAGAAGTGTTAATTAGATTACCTTAGACAAAATATATATATAACCTATCCATGTTAATAAAACAAGTGGTAATTAATACTACTTGTTATATAATTTTTTGTTTTTTATTATATTATAAACATGTATTATTTAAAAATAACATTTATACTATGGTATGCATTTATAACATGTGATATTTTATAATACCATTATAATAAATTTACAATCAGTCTAATTTTTGGAGTTTTATAGAGATAACACTTATATTATAGAAATTGCAGATAGAAGGTAACTTGCCCAACACAGCTTACACACACTCATTGTAGAATCAGAATGGAAACAGGTAATGGTCTCCAGAGTCTGAGTTCTTTCCCTAAGCTCATATAACTGCAGAAAGCTACCTTCCCTCAGTCTATCAAAATTTTTTTTTTTTCAAATCACCATGAGATCTTCTGTTTGCTGCAATTGATGACATTCAATTTTTCTCTCTTCCCCAACACTAAATTAGCACTACAGACTAGAAGGTAGGGAAATCTCTCATGCTCCTCAAAGCAGAGAAAATAGATACAACCTATGTTCTTATTCAGAACATCTTTGTACTAAACAAAGTCACTTTGTGTCTTTGACAGCTGTTCAAAGTACTATTCTGATCCATCAGCTATTTGTGGGTATATATTACCATCAGCACACAACCACTAGGACATTGTTCTTGGACTCGGGAGCATTGGGATGAAATCTACAAAAATTAAGACACTAATATTAGTTAATCATTTGATAAGTATTTTTGAAAGTCTACTGTGTACCAAATACTGTTCTAAATCCTAAGGACAGAGGAATGAATAAGACAGACAAAATCCTTTCTCTCTAATCTATTCCCAAGGCAGGAGTTGGTCAGCTTTTTCTGTAAAGAGCCAGAGAGTAAACATCTTTGGTTTCATGGGCCACATCATTTCTGGATCAATTCAACTCTGCCATTGCATGGAGAAAGCAGTCATACACCATATATAAGTGAATGATGTGCCTGTAGTCATTAAAACTTTAATTACAAAAAGAGATAGCAGGATGATTTTGACTGTGACCTGTAGGTCACAGTTCACTAAGGCCTCTCCTAACAGAACATCAAACACTTGTTCCAGACCTAATGAGAAAATTATTTACCTGGGAATTTCCCTGGAGTGATCCATTAGTAAATTTATTCCACTGCCATTTCAATACAGCCAAGGTTAAATGTTTACTCAACTATTCTCTCACTAAGTTAAAGAGATCCAGATTCTCAACATTGAGAGCTGTTGTTTCAAATCTATTTCTTTTCATTGATTAACCTGTTCCTGAACTATCTTAACTTAGTAACTGTATGACTGCAGTTCATATAACAGGTGTGATGTTTGTGACCTCTGAGAAGGAATGATAAGAAAAGGACATGCAAGAAATTTATTAGGAGAAATGCCTGTGAGGGAATTTTGGGAAGAAGCCATCGGACACTAGGAATGTCTTCCGCTGGGATGCAAGTATAACCACAGTGAAGAAGAGTGGGAAGAAAGGAAGATTAAGTAAGGTCTTAGCTTACTTAGCAGGGCTGTTGTGAGAAAGTTCAACAAGGTTGATGGTGAGCTCTTAGCCAAAGCCATGTGTCAGCGAAGTCCTAGAACTCCCAGGAGCAGGCTTAAGTATCACTACCACACTGAGTCATTGGCTAGAAGTAGTCCCTGGGAATTGTGGCTTTTGCACCAACACGGTGATGGATTTCAGAGTACAGCAGCTGGGACTATTGGTAAATTACAATTACACCTCCCACAGTAGGAGAATGGAAATGTGAATTTTTGTGGCTGTAAGGAAAGGTCCATAACTAATTCATTTGATTGAAATTTAAGAAAGAAATGGTTTAGAAAACTTTGTCACATTGACTCAATTAAGCTCACTGAGGATAAAGACTGCTTTATTTATTGTTATATTCTTTATAGATATATAAGATATATAACTTATATCAAGGAGGTACTTAAATATATATCTTTTTGAATAAGATTAAATTTTCTAATATCACACTTTCTATACAAATGATTGGAAATTGGAGAAAACTTAGTCTCAATGTCTAAGGAAGTTTCCTAGAGTTACACAGCCAGTAAGCAACAAGAACAGAATAGACCCTAGATTTTGTGAGAGGATGTGAAAGCTCATGGTAAAATGGTGATAATTTTGGTACCACCACCACCAGCAGAAAGCACAAATGTGAAGCAAATACAAAGAATATGGGAGCAACATCCCAGGAGCTATCTGGACAGCACTAAAGATTCTACTAGTTTATGCAGACATGCTGGAGAGATTCAAGATTTATTTTGTAAATGTGTCCCTATCAAGGACTTGTATGAACCTGAATGGTTAAGTCTCAAAAGATCACATCCTGTTGAAATGGTCCAAGTGTGTACATGGATGTACATTCAAGTGAAAATGATCTGGAGTATAAAAATAACAAAAAGCACAGATAATTGGAAGGTAGTACTATGAAGAGGAAAAGAGCCTACAGTCTTCACATTGTAAGTAGGACATAATTATTTGCCTGAGACAGTCTTCCTTCTGTACCTCCCTCTCTTAGGGAGTTCTGATAAATTTGTGATTTTTTGGAGAAGTTTCTATGTTTTAGCTATTTTAAAAGTGTGCTTACTGCATCCAATAAACTTTGTCAGTCATTAATGACTAGTTTTAGCTGTTCCACATAGGGAGTAGTTTTTTTTTTTTTTCCCATGAATTTTCTGTACTATTTTCCATAATGCACATATCCTTTGGCCTTAAGCATGCAGAACAAGTTATTATCTCTTAAAATCGCACATAACATGCATCGTAATACTTTGGAGATTAGCATGCTAGCAATGGGAATATTTTTTTCCCCACAACTCCAATTCCTAGGTGGAAAGAGAACAAAAACAACTCAAGAGGTTTTAGGGATGGAAAAAATAAACAAAACCCTGGCATTATGTCATAAAACTTATTGTACTATACACATAGTAGTATATAGTAGAAATGCATAAAAATTTCAAATGTTCACTCAAGTAGGATAATATTATGTATTTGTTTTTGAATACATGAGAATGCTTTGCAGGAGAAAGTAAGTATTCCATTTTTAAAAAATAAGAGAATGCACACATTATTTATACTGTAGGAAGTCAATGTTCATAAATCACCAATCTTGCTTAGTGTGATAATAAATGATTACAAAAAGGCTTTAATTTTTAGTTAAAATGTGTAATTTCCTCTTCACCATTCTCCATGGTTATCTGATGGCTGTATGTCAAAAACTATTTTCCAAAGCCTATGTGAATCTTTGCTCCATGCAGTTGACATTTAAGTTCTTATTTGATTAGCTATGTATTATTAGTAGTGTTAATCAAGGCGGAGAGAGATGAAAGAAATGCGTATGCTTCACTATGAGTCCTGGATTCAACTATTATCTGTATCAATGTGAGAAAATCACTCAAACTTTCTGACCTCTTGTCTGCTCTAAATGGTTTTCATAAGAATCATTTATACATAGGAAAAAGGTTTGTGTTATATAAAATGCTCTTTCCATATAAATTATCATGGTTGTTTTTAAATATTGATATACGATCTGTGATGTGATTAACACAAATGAAATAAAATAGAAAAAAGGGCTGCACCCTACTTTTTAATTTATACTGTTAAAATAATTAAACAAGTAGGTCATTAGGATCACTCCAATGCCTTGGTAGCTTACATATCAATAAATAAATAAATAAATAAGCCATAGACTATGAGCTCAAATCCAAGAAATTAAAACATAAGAACAACCAATCACAAACAGCCAGCGAGGCTTTTGCAAATAAGGAAATCTCTTGAACTATAGCCAATCAAATAATGTCCTTGCTTTATTTCCAAGTTTTCTCTACTTAAAAACTTTCCCCAGTGGGTAGATCTTTTCACAATATATTCCAGCTTTGATTCCAGAAATCAGCTACATTGATATGGAATCATCACCATAGTTTCAAAATGGTAATTGGAACAACCATTTCCATGGTTAAAAGTTACGAAGAGATCATCTTTTGGCAGATTTATAACAGTGATGATTAAATGACTTTTTAAAAAACTGATTTGTGCATAAATAGACAGGATTATATATTAAGCATGATATTGTCCATGGTAGAGGAATACAAACACACACACACACACACAGTTTTAATTATCTTAGTATAAAATCAGTCTGAATTTTCAAAAAAAATTCTACACATCTATAAATAGTGCAGTGAATGGGAAAACACCATTTACTTGGGGTTTTTCCTTCCCAATCACTGAATATACAAAGCCACTGCTTGGGCCACTATGGTTATAATATTGCCAGAGACAAACCAGGACAGGTCAAAAATTCATATCAAAGGCACCAATTTGACCCAAGCAGTTATCTTGTTTGACACATATCATATCACAGTTGGTAGCTGCAATGTTCATTGGAATGTAGATGCTGATTAAGTCCTTTGCCAGTACTGTTGTTGCAAATACATACAAGGGTAAATATACTAATGCTCATTAAATCAAAAGAAACATGCATAGCATGTCAGACAGTCATTGTTATTACGAATGAACAAAAATGTATGTTTCTCCAATCCCCAGTGCCGAAATGCACTCTGTGTTTATGGAATATGCTAAGAGAAAAAAAAATCCTGGTTAAGAGTTGCTTGACATTAGCCCAGAGTGTACCTGGGTCTCAACATCTGTCAGCTTTCTGGTCTGCTCCGCAGTCTGAGAGAGGAGGCTGGTTCCTATCTCCAGCATGGTGGCTGTGTGGTTCTGAACTGCATTCTGCTGTATTTGGGCCATCTCCGACTTCATATTTTCCACAATGTAATTCTCAATCTGTAAAAGATAAAGGACAAACCATACTACATTATAAGCAAAGCCTCTCAGTTGGATCATGGAATATTTACAATGACAAAACAAGACACAGCTGACAAATCAGCCATCTGGCAGGGATCCTCTGCATCTCTGGCAGCCAGGGAAATGGAAGCAGAGCACACAGGAATCTAGTTACTAACAAACTCCTAATATACTGCTATGTATATATTTACACCTAATATACTGCTATGTATAATATGTATATAATCAAAATCACAATGAAAGTTTGCAGTTTGATAGTGTTTCCTTGTATATAACATCCTCTCATTTAGCCCTCACAGCAAAGATGTGAGTTAAGCACAGATGGCTTCATTGTTCTTTTTATTTATAGCAGAAGAAAAGGAAGCAGAGATCAATGATGAGCCCAAGGTCACCCAGCAAGAATGCTGCAGAGGTAGTCCCATAATTTAAAGCTAAATCTTTGTTTTCTGGTGTTTACTACACCAAAGATACTGATCACTCATCTCTGAGAAAATTTCCGACTCCTGCTCAATTTCAGAAATGATGAATCAAAGACCATGCTGGTGTATGGGAATGGGACAAGAAGAGGAAAGAGGTAGATAGCCAAAACACAAGCCTTTAAGGGAATATGAAAATAGAGGAAACAGTGCCTGAAGTGAATTGCAGAGCCTGAGAACTAGCTGTAACTCCTCTGTGTTCTCCTGCAAGCTCAAAAATAGGCTCTGAAAGTACAGTCCATAAAATGTAATTTGCTCTACTCACCTTGGGCAATATTTAGTCCTTTATAATGCCATCTTAGAAAATACTGTGGTTGTGAAACAAATGGTCTATAGGGGCCATGAGGAATTATTAAGTGACTGACTACAAGGGGGCCTGTTAGGCACCGGGGAGTGTAAAGCTGAGAACATGCACTACTTGAAAATACAGAAGGAGTTTGCACCTCCCTGGCAGTGCACTTAACTCTCCCCCTCCACTGCAGGGTGACATTTTATTACCCAATTACACATATGGGGAAATTGCATCCCAGAGAAATCAGGTCCAAGGCCACACACCACAAAAACAGCCAGACTTGGATTTGAGTGCTGAAGTCCTTAACTTTCATACCAACACTCTTAACCACTTGATAGTTCTGCCAAGTCGTGCTTTGCAAGCTGGGTTCCAAATCATTAACAGCTACGTGATTTTTACTGATTTAGTGAACCAAATACATCCACTATTTTATAATCCATAGTTACATTATTATCATGTAATAAATATAGTCTAAAACTATATTCCCCTTTGTGGAACTTTGGCAGTTCACTTACTAACACCATCTCTTGCTTATTTCTATTTATCAAATGTGCATTTTCCCCAAGCTAAAGCACATGAAAGCTTAGAATCAAACTCATGCTTTTATTAATAAATGCTGAACTTACTCTTTGTCAATATTAAGTAACCCTCCCTCTTCATCCTTTACTTCCATATTAAAAATAGGGGCAAATCAACCTACAAAATTGTATTATAAAACAAATACAAAATAGATTATAGTAAGTATATGGAAATTATCTTAACAAAATGCATGATCTCTGGCTGAATCTTGGCTTTATTGCAATTGAATGGGGGCATATTTGAGCAATAGTGGGACAGGGCAAAGGCAGGTAGGTCAGAGTATCAGACATCTATTGTTTCAGATTCTGTATTACATGTTCCCCCTTTCTAATAACATCCCTTAATTTTCTTTTGGGAAATTATCTCATCCCCTTCAGAACAATGTTTTAGGTGGAGTTCTGCCACTCTAGCTTCAGGAGTAGGGACATGTTTGAGCCAGCAAGTCAGAACACTGTGCTGTTACTTAGAATGAGTTGTTTAAAAATGGAACAATGTTGGTAAACAAAGCCATGAAGTCTCAGATCTGGAATATTGTCCAATTATTTTACAAAAGAACTTAATTTTCCTACATGGTAATAAGCTGGTAACAGTAAATCTGACACAACTTATGCCCTATTTTACCATTACAAAACAAGGTCAGCCTAAGCTGAAAAAATTACATAATAAAAAAGAAGAGAGACAGATGGTAGGTGGATAGATAGATGGTAGGTGGATAGATAGATGGGCACACGCATAGCCAGGTGATACATAGAGATAAACATATAACACCATGATCTGCCCCACCCACGGACACTGTAAATTATTGATCTAATAACTTCCCATTGAGCAGCCTATGTTTGTTTTTGCATGTGTTCTTTTCAATCATATTCACTTAGGCTTTTAACCCATACAGACAAAAGAATCTTGACTGATAACATTTGATGGATGTTTAGCAAAGGAAACCTCAGACAGGCAAACAGGAGCAGTATGTTACTTGCTCATATGGGTAACTTGGGTTTGTACATGAATGTGTATATTATTAGAATGACAGATAAGTCTCTGTCATGGAGATGATAATGTGTCACTTGTAGTTGACATTTATCAATTGTCTACTGTGTGGCAGGCACTGAGCTAATTTATAGTATTTAAACCTTACAAGAATGTTATGTGGTAGGTATTGTTACAGGCACTTTATAGGTAAGATTATTAAGGCTTAGAAAATTCAGAACAACTTGCTCAAGAACAAACAAGAACTCAACTCTCAGTGCCAAAACCCATGTTCTTAACATCTAATCTATTCAGTTTACTTTTCACTATTTATTTGCTCCACGCATTTTATTACATAGCTCTTAAACATTGTGTATTAATCCAAAGTACAAGAGGATTGTCTAAAAAATGCAGATGTTCATAATACACACAGGAATTCTGAATCAAAATTTTCAAAGGTATGCTTGAGGGTACTACATATTTTTAAATTTCTATATCCATGTCTATGTTTCTATCTCTGTCTACCACTAATTCTACTAGAACCTCTACCTCTGTGTCTCTCTATCTTAATAGAGACTTTCTCAATGAAGAAAGTGATGCTCTAATGTGTTAATTCACATCCTGATTCACACTTCAAACCTTGTGTGTAAATTAACAAGGTTTGAGAAGCCATGATTTACACCATCAAATTTATACTAATATATCAGATTCCCTGATCACCAGGATATTTCAAGAACAAATTTGGTTTCCTATGTAAATTTCTTTCCTAAGATGTATTTCACTTATCAGTGACCTCCAATACAGATCTACTTGGTAACTGATATACATCAATTTCTTATGTAGTTGATTAGTGGGAGTAAGTTCTAAGAGCTTGACTTGCTCTGGGTATAATAATAACCATTTGCCTCAGTCCCCACTACAGAAGACATCCTTGGCATAGAGTGACTACAGTAAAGTTCAGCTGTTTAACAATCTTGTCTTTTTCAGTATCTATCACCTATCTATCATCTATTCTGTTTACTGTGATTCTTTTTAAATTGTAAAAGTTAACACCACCAAAGCAAAATGACTGCTGTATGCCACCATTCATCAAAGAGTCTCCCAATTCTGCTGACCTGGTTACAGAATTAAAATGGGCTTCCAGCCTATACTAAAATTCTTATTTGGGTTTCCATGATGATTAACACAAATATAACTCTAGTTAACTATTTTTTAATCAAATGGTGCTGCTTTCTCTAAGAGTAACTGTCTTTTAATGCAAAAGGTAATGGCACACGTAAGTAGCAAAAACCAGATGTACTTGATTTAAAGGCTGAGGAGGAGGCAGAAGTCAAATATACAATGTGTGATTAATAAGGAGACTACTTTCATCTTATCTCTAAACATTCCTCTGTATATGTATAACTGTGAAATCTGTCTTGATGTGCCATATCAGCTGGGTTCAGGAAAGATTTGTAACAAATTTAATTGTCTTCATATATTCCCTACTGGTTTTAAAAATATATTACAGAATATGGCAGCTACCTCAAGGCTCAATATTTTATAAACATCTAAGATATGAATGTTAAGCTTAGAAGCTGCTGACCACAAGAGCAGATGGGTTATAAAGTGAGAAACTCACAAGCAAGAATCATAGTTATTTGACAATACTGCCACTCCCCAGTATCGGACTCCAGAGTTTACAAATCATTGGCCAAAAAAAAAATAGTAAGCTATAGGACACAATTTGCAATGAGTTAATCAACAATAAATGCTGTTTTTTAAGCAAAGACGTAATGTTACATTTGTAAGATGATTTGCAAAGAGCTTTCGTACACATTGTCTGATCTGATCATTATACCAACCCTCCAAGGGAAGCACTGACTTTTATTGTTTAAGAAATGGAGGCTCAGAGACCTTAGACAGTTTGATAGATATAAAAGAAAAAATTCAAATCTTACTTCTGATGTTCTCCTAGTCTCAAAGCTGTGAAAACAGCCCTATTATTGAATTAGTTGTCTGATTGATTACTTGATTGACTGTTTTTGTTTTGAGCCAGTTATTGAGAATTCAATATTATTTAGAAATGAAATTTACTTTTACTCTACTTAATTTGAGAGGAGGTGAGAGGGTCAAGGTTCAGGTATGTGGAAAATTAACATTTTTAATGCAATGAGTTGTTAAAAATCCTCTCATCGGTTCCCATCTTTTTTGTTTGTTTTTTAGCCTGTAGTTCATAGCATGTTGTTTTGTCTTTCCATTCTATTGCTCACAAGCCATTGTAAAATATAACAAAGTGCATAACAACAACAATAACAACAGCATATTAAAACTACCAAGGGTAGGTTGAACCTGATTTTAGAAATATATAGCCCATTGACTTCTTATACCAACCCAGACAATGCATTATTTTTCCTCATTTTACAGATAGTGAAATGTGCTAGGGAAGTTAAGTAAATGGTCTCTCATCACAAAACGAGTCTGTGGTAGAGCTAGTATGTCTATGAAACAGGCTAGATGACAACAGAAGTTGTGACCTATTCTAAAGGATAGTAAATTATCCATTGAACACAAGAACATTGCTGTCAATGTTACAGAAAAATATGGAAATACAGAATATCCATGCAGGAAATACATAAAACAAAGGCTGATGAAGTGAAACTTGTTCAAAGACAGTGATTTTTCAT